AACGATAACCTTTTTGGGTATGAGCATAACCTAAAAACACATACTTGCGAGCACGTAGAGACAACTTATCTTGACCAGGATCAAGAACATGAGCAAAGGCTACGCAACCAAAGACACGAGGAGGAAGTGGGAACAGGGAACATGTAGGATATAACACGGAAAAAGGTGACTGATTATGTAAAACAACAGATGGCATGCGGTTAATGAGCGAGCACGCAATAAACACAACATCACCCCAAAAATGTTTGGGGACGTGCATGTTAAATAACAAAGTACGAGCAACACTGTATGAGCACAAGAAGTCTCATGAATAATACCATGATTAGCGCAAAAAGAAGTAATAACAGACTGACTATACTCTAAGGCATTATCAAAGCGAAACACTTTAATATGTTTACCAAACTAAGTATGTATTTTATTATAAAACTTAGACAATATGGAAGGCAACTCAGAGCTTTGACGCATTGAAAACAACTAAGTCATCCTAGAAAAGTCATCCAAAAAATAACAAAGTAAAAAAAAATCATTAAGTGTAGAAGTGCGGGAAGGACCCCTGAAGTACGAGAAGGACCCTTGAAGTATGGGAAGGACCCCAGATGTCCGTGTAGACCACATCAAAAGACTCAGACTTGCGACTAACATTACGACTAGGAAATGAACTACGATGATGCTTTCCAAGTTAACAAGCTTCACACTTGAATGTAGACGCATGACTCAAAACCAGGAATAGCCAGCTTAAGCTTAGATAGCGATGAATGACCCAAATGGAAATGCCACTACAGAAGAGAGATAGTAGCACTCAAAACAGAGAATTGGTGAACATAGGTGCGATCAGTATCCAAATAATATTAGCCCTGCTTTTTATGCCCCAAACCAACCATTCTCTTGGTCTTGAGGTCCTGCAAAATACAAGTAGTAGGAGAAAATGTTATGGAACAATGGAGAACTTTGGTTAATTGACTAACGGACAACAAATTAAAGGGAAAATTAGGGACGTAGAGACTCGAAGGTAAAGAAAGAGTAGTGGTGGATGAAGTGTACCCATTCCACTGACAGGTCAAGAGGACCCATCAACAAGAATAACATGATGGGTGACAGGATGTAAAGCGTGAAAAAGAGATGAATTACCAAAGATGTGAGAACTAGCACCTGAATCTAAGAGCCAGGGTTGAGGAGACTGAGCCACACAGGCAATATTACCTAAACTTGCCAAGGTAGCAATGGAAGATGAAGGAAGAGTAGACCAAAGGAGTGCAGTTAGCTCATTAAGCTGAGTAGTTAGTGCCTCGTGAGAATCCAACGAAGGAGTGGGAGTAATATGGTCAGAGGAACGAGCAACATCAGTAACCTGGCGCACATGGTCTGGCTTACCATGCTTCTGCCAACACCAAGGCTCAGTATGACCAGTAGAGCCACAATGATCACATTTCTGGTTACCATGAGAAATACTACCACGAGAAGAAACCCCACGGGTGCCACCATTACGAGAGCCACTGATTGGTGCCTAAATGTTACACATTTAATCCCTTAATATACACTTTATTAGTTTCTTTATTTGTATTATTGTATGATTTTATGTATTTGTATATATTTTAGTGTTTATACATAAATTAGTCTAAATAATACATTATAAATATTTCATAAATTATATTATATTTATTATAAAATAAAAAAATATATATCATCATCAGCCACCACCACGAGAATTATGACCACGAGAACTAGGATGTGAGCCACAAGAACCATAGTTGCCACGAGACCCATTACCACTACCAGAAACCATAGTAGAAGAGGGACCTAAGTGAGTGGTGGGGTTAGACGAAACAAAATGTTGGCCCAATGAAGACGTAACAAGTGGGAATAGGCATTAGCAACCAATGGCAAGGTCTTACTGGCCAGAATTTGATCCTTGAACCCAAGCAAATTGGAATCTAAGCCAGTAAGCGAGAATGCAATCATAAATTCCTCCCAATTCCGCTTTTGCTGGGTCAAATCCATAGTAAAGGGGAATGCTGAAACAACTGATCCCACAAATGCTTAAGACCACTATCATTCTCAAAGGTGGACGACCGGACTGCTTAGTAGCAAAAATCTGCTCATACAGCTTAAACACACAAGAAACATTATTCTGCTGTGAAAAAGAGTCAACTAGAGAGTCCCAAATTTCCTTAGATGTTTCACAAAACTCAACGGTGGTGGCCATGTTAGGTTCCAAACTATGTCAAAGCCAGCTTATAACACCAGAATCCTCACTAGACCAATCATCAAAGGTTGGATCATCATCAGATGCAGGAAGAACAGTAATGAAACGCAGTTTTTTCTTTCCACACAAAAAAACTTTAACTACATGAGCCCATGCAAGATAATTCATGCCATTCAATTTCTTTGTAGTAATAGACTTGGGCAAATCATCATCCTTAACCAATGAGGTGTGTGCTCAGCCTTAAGGTTTGTCTTCAGCCATGAGACTTAGATTGTGGCAACAAACCAACCAAAAAAACACAATTCCAGCACTGCCTTAACAGGAATATGAGGCACAAAACAATAACTCAAATAGGAATCAATCAAGAAGACCCAAACAATCAGCCACAGCAGCAATATGAGGTGCCAGAATCACACAGAGAACAGTTTCAGCACTGTTGGAGAGTGCCGAACAAGAGCAGCAAGTTGATCAAGGCACAAATGGGACCAAATATACTACCCAGGACCTCAAATCATCAAACAAACACCAAAGGAGACCTAAGAAGGTCTAGTCAGCTCCTAGGAAAGAGATTCCAACAACCAAAAATAGAAGAAAAGGCCCAAATCTTGATTCGAACAAAATTGGCCAAAACTTGTCTGAAAATCGTTAAAAAATCACAAACTCATATCAAATGGCTTTGATTAATTTTGTAAAAATCACCATAAGTACTAGGAGGCAAAAACGAGTCGGACCGTGTGTTTTCTGGATCGCGACGTTCCGTACGAACTTGACATCACGCTGACATCATCGTACGGATGATGATGTCAGCACGCCACCGTCACCTGAGAATGATCTCTAGAGTCTATTGAATGCTTGCTTGAGTAGAATCGCCTTATAGAGAGAGAGAGAGAGAGAGAGAGAAGAGAAGAATACGGCTAACAGGTTCCAGCTTTTTTTAAAGTCAACCCAACACCTCAATGTTTAGGGTGCCTTTATTTACACACCACATCTAGTCTCAAGGCACACCACTACTCCGTTCACGCCTTTAATAATTTAAAAAAACATATAACTTGTTTGGTTCTGATTTTCAGAAAATTCTATTTTTTTATTTTTCGTATTTTAATGTTTTCAATAATTTTTTTTTAATGTTTTAGCAATTTTTTTTAAAATTTTTAGACACACCTAACATAAATACACTTAAAAAGTATAATATTTGTGAAAAATATTTTTAAAAATTTAAAAATATACAAAAAATACGAAAATTGTATTGAATTTTTATTTTTTTTTGTATTTTTTGGTATTTAGTGTATTTTTTAAATATTTTTTTCATAAATATTATACTTTTTAAGTATATTTATATTAGGTGTGTCTAAAAATTAAAAAAAAATTGATTAAAACATTAAAAAAATTCATTAAAAATATTAAAATACAGAAAATAAAAGGGTAAAATTTTTTGAAAATCTATTTTCTGAAAATCAGAACCAAACAAGGTGTATATTTTTTCAAATTATTAAATATGTGACCTAAGTAATGGGGTGCCTTAAGACCAAATATGGTGTGTAAATAGAGTCACCCCAATGTTTATTTATATTAAACATAATATAGCAATATGACAATAGTACCCCTCAATATAGAATTAAATTACACGAAACACACGACTATTCTAACATTGGGTATGCATTCACAAAAAAGCACATAGAAATAGTTTAAGAAATAAAGAATCATCAACGGAACCACATCACATTACATGGATTACACGTGCTGTCATTAGAATCTCACATATAATTGGTCAAAAGCAAGGGATCGGGGTCTAGATATGTTTAATAGGTGGCGTCCAAAATGATATTGACAACCACAACTTGAGTGCTGGATGGATCATCCCGAGTCATTGCTTACTTTCTATGGGAAAGCAAGTGGATCACTTGCACTAGTTTTGAGCTCACATTCTCAAAATATTTGACATGCCTTCAGTCATGCCAAACTTTAAAGGTGGCAGCAGATGATCATCCCCACATTTGGGTTGCAACAACCAAGGATTTCATGCAATAGGAAAATAATCCCTTTCATTATCCCGAGGTCAATATGGAAAATGAGAAATAAAAAGTGAAAATTGGATGGGGAGAATTTTGCACCCCACATTGCCAACACCATCGTTTATGATCGCTACAAATAAAAAAGTTATGGCGAGTGGAAGACATAAACTGACATGAGATGCTATATAAAAAAATGAAATAATTTAAGGGCATGTTTGATTAGGTGGATTAGAGTATGGGATTAGAATTATTAATCCGTGGGCCAGGCCTCGTTTGGGAACAGGTTAATTTAGTAACTTTTTGGCTATTTGGCTAAAAAGGTAGGTAAAAAAAACTTGTATGTTTGGGATGACTTTTTGGCTAATTACGAAAAGATGTGCAAAAAGTAGAGAGAAAAGAGAATCTTTGACTTTTTGGTATGGGTTGTTGGCTTTTTGGCTAATTTAGTAACTTTTTGGCTAATTGGCTAAAATAGCCTCTTGCCAACAACCAACTCCATCGCTTCATGGTGTTTTCCACACCACAGTTAAAAAGGTGTCAAGACTTTTTAACTTTCTTAGACGTCGGCATTATTCTGTCTATAATTCATGGATTTTGCTAAATCATTTGTCCTTGTTCAGGGTCTCAAAATATATGTAGGTTGATAAAGCTTCCGTGCTCACACCATTCTAAAACATCTACAGCTAGTGCAAGACACATGCTTTTATCAGTGAAATGCTATTATTAATTCCAGGAAAGATTTCAAAATAAAATTAAGACATAGGTGATTTCATTTAAAAACATACCACAGTTGCACCTGTTGCCTTGGCAACTTGTCGGATATCCACTTTCCGAACACGTCTCACTGCAATTGCACCGGCCTCCACAAAGCACTGAAACAGCAGTAAAGTAAACAAAATTACAAAAGGAATCCATATCCACATCACAGAGTTAGTTTTAATTTGATAAATTCTGACAAACCTCCAGAATAAAACTACTCTGATAAAAATCAATAAAGAGCCAGTCTAAGCACACTTGAAATGCAAGAAACCACTGTTACCGTCACATGAACCCAGGGAAGAAAACAAACCTAATACATAAGAAGTCCCGCAATATGTTTCAATATCACATGGAATATTAAAAAAATATGTGAAATTCCACACAAAGCACATCATGGTCTCTGAACAACTGATTTGCCCCCATTGTTCATAACTACGTTAATTGGATACTTTAGATAATGTATCTGTATCCCTGATTTATGGTGTTTCGGGCAAAAATGGACCTAATACCAATGCATCGACAACCAAAACAGGTATAACATAGCCACAAACACATGAGCAGGGACATCTTCAAGGTGACTACCAGAAACAACCAAGCCATGCATCCCAAACAAGGTTGGGCAGTGGCATTCTAAAGGAAGCCAATGAGCTGATGAATATGGACTATTAGAACCCGGCCATTACAAAACTAAAACTATTTAACCCTACAAAACAGAGAGACACTTGGCTTAAGGGCCATCTCATCAATTCCCTTTGTTGTCAAAACAACATTGGCTCCAGCCTTTAGAAGCTTCCCAATCCGTTTTTTGTCATATCAGCTTCTCTGTAAAGATAGAAGTCCATTTAGTGTTGCTCACCCCAGATAGCCAAAAATAGAAAGAGAAATAGAAAAAAAAAAGCATCATATGCTTTCTCTTTTTTCCCGGATAAATCATTGCAGAGCCACTATGACTCTCTCATAACAAGCGTAAGAAAAGAGTGGGGAAAAAAACATGTCTACATTGTTTGGTTGCTCAGTTAGGTATATGCTCTCTAGGGCTGTCTGTTCCATGTTTTTAATAGTCACCGTTTCTTTCTTTCAATATTTTGGAAAGGTGACATAGCAGCAAAATATTGTTAATTGCACATAGCAGCAATATAGGTGACATGTAATGTAGAAAGGTGAGATAAATGCCCTCACTGTAAAACGACCCGCATAGTAATATCGATTTCTGACATAATAACCTCAAAAATAATCTTTAGTTCATAAGACTAATCACCTCTGACAAATCTTTTCAAGCTCCCGTGGATCAGTGACTAAAACTTGGATACCCAATTTCATTTGTCTTCTGAAGATTGAAATCAAGACAGGCAATCCTTGCTGGGGGCAACTCTTAGTGGCATTCCCTGGGCAGCACAGCTAGTATTCAAAGTGCTGGAAATTTGTGTTAATGTATATTTTTGGTAAAAAATGTAGCTAACATGTGGGCTTGTTTGGTGCAATTTTCTCTCTCTCTCTCTTTCTCTCTCTTAAAGCAGATGATGAAATCAGAAGATGTCTATAATCTCAAGAGTTGCTGCTCTTCTTCCGGCTCTGTAACAAGACTATGAAGGATTCTTAGAATTAGAACTATGATAACTTCAAATGTTCTTTGTAATTGCAAGAGATGAAAAACCTTTGTAGGATTCTTTCAGGAACTCCTTGTTATTGTTGTACATTGTTTTTTTTTTGTTGTTGAAGAAAGAGAATTTTATTAAGGGAAGAAATGGAAAATAATGCATGAATGTTGAGATTTTTGCAAATGTCTTTACGTTTTTGTATATAATATTTGAATATATACATATATGATTGTAGGTATTTTTTTTGTTTTTTTTTGCGACAGAAGATGGTCGCTAATACCTTGTAGGCATTTTTTAAACTCTTTTGCGACGGCAAAATAACAGTTGCTATAAGTAGGTTAGGCGGTTGCAAATAATTTGCGACTGCTGTTTTGCGGTCGCAAAAAGTATTTGCCACCCCCACATTCGCAACCCTCATTTGCCGTCGCATGGGCCGTCGCAAAAAGTCTTTTGCGACTGTTTTTTTATTATTTGCGACGGCTTGTAGCGGTCGCAAAAAGTACTTTTTTTAGTAGTGGTATGAAAGTTCACAGCCAGAACATCAATAGATGTTGAAACAGAATATTAATATGACAGTTAAAGAGCAGCCATGACAACAAATCCATATACTCTAATTGATCATAAAAACTTGATAGAAGACAAAGAAGCCAGATGGAAAATTAATGCTGCCATTTTAAACCGTCTCATTTGTTACACATTATACAAGAAGGATGCATCATATGGCATAGGATCCTCTGTCCCCAAATCCATCTATTCCCCTTGTCCCAAACACTAACAACCGTTGGATTATGTCTCGAGATTCATGCACCTTGAGTTTCTCACATGATTCAATGGTTGTAAGTATTTTCGGACAAGGGGACAAAAGGATTTGGGAACGGAGGACCTGATGTAGGACGAGTAGGGATTACTTTCCTACAAGTAATGAACTCGAGCTAAGTATACTAGCAGCAGCAACAACAAACTTGTAGGGCTGGATTTGGTGGGAGTTTGTGGCTGCAAAAGTATTTTAAAAATAGGAGTTTAAAGGTTTGTAAAAGTGTAAGATTTTGGGAATGAAAACACAAGTGTTTAGGGGCTGTTGGGCGGCTATTCTAAACACTGTGAACAGTGATGTAAACAGTAACCTTACTAAATAGAAGAAGAGAGAGAGAGAGAGCGAGAGAAAGAGGTGATTCACCCTCACAAGGAATAGGCCAATCACACAAACACAAACTCAAATTTTCATAATATTAAGTCTTCTCCACAATCATTGAGATTACACATGTATATTTATAAGTTAAAGACTCCTAATTCTATAAGGACTATAACTCAAATTTAAAAACTAAAAATATTTCCAATTCTACTTCAATCATAATAGAAAACTTTAATGGCTTCTAATTCTACTTCAATATCAAAATAGAAAACTTAGACTTTTAACCCCTAAGATTATTTTAGACATAATAAAATCCATATATAATGACCCATTTAATAACTTCACCTAAAATGAAATCCGTGGGCAACCCCTACAACCCATGTCTAATAATTATTGGAATTACCATTATATCCTTAATTACTAAAACCTATTATAATGACATGAAGATTCAAAATTATTCCAAATCTTTAATTCTTGATGCCCTAAATGTGTGCTTCATGTGAAATTTTAGATTTGCTCTTTTTCTTCCTTTCATGATCTTCATCAGGGCCCTTGGCCGTATTATATGTCTGCAAATAGTTTTAAATAATAGACCAAAGAAAGGCACAAATAACTTGCTTAATCATTGAATACGGTATGGAAGCTCCTCTGCATTAATTCCATTCGCAAATTAAACAATTTAAGGCCAGAAACCAATTGAACATTGCTAAAAAAAAAAAAAACCAATTAGCCTACCAGATTAGCAAAAAAGTCACTGTTACCAGCTATCAACTTCGAGGACATGCTTGTCTTGGCACAATTTAGAAGAGAGTCTTTTCCAAGCTTTTCCACCTGGAAAAAGAGAAAAGATCTGGTTGAGAGCAACACTACATCACTGTACCCTTGAGAACATGTGATGTGACACAAAACCCCAAATCATGTCTTTGATAGTTTTAAACTCAGGAATCATCAGGGGTTAAGAATCAAATAGTCCATTAACTTTCCGGTTCTATATAAGTTACAAGTCTTCCTAACTGTTCCAAGAATATGCAAGGATGGATCTAGTGGGGTGTGGATGGGGTGACCGCAACTCCAAAAATTTGAAAAATATCATATATTATACTAGAAAATTTAAAATAATTAAAAATTATAAGGATTTGCACCTCAAACATACTTTTGCACCCCCATAGTGATAATCCTAGATTTGTCCCTAAGAATACATCTAGCAGTTAAGACAGGTAATGCTACCTGAGCATATGAGTTCTTTTAATTTGATTTCTGAGATAAAATAACAGAAAATTGTTTCCTATTTAACAAAATACCAAACGAGCGTGCATTATAATTTGAGAAACTAGACACAAGGCTACAGTGCTTCACATGCATGCAGTAACAAACTTAACAAAAGCAGCTTTTTGACAAATTACTATGATCAACTGCATTAGGAGAATTACCTTCACAGCCAATTTGTCATCAACATATTTGTATGCTTCCCTCATCGCAAGCTGCCAAAATAAACAAATTTTTTTAGGTGTTGATAGGTTTTTGAAAATATGACAAAAAATATAAAGCAAACTCATATTTGATATGAGTATAGTGCAGAGAAAAATTAAGGATAACTGAATACTCACTCTCTAACCGCTTATTATGGATGTTGGGTGAATCTTATTTCTCACCAAATCATTTGCTCCCTGCAGTAATTAAAGACAAAACATAGATTAAAAATCCCTTTCCATAATATCAATCAGATTTAGCATTCCTCATGGGATCGCAAAACTTACTTCTAGAATGCATACAAGATCAATGTACAAGCTGGATTTTACCTTAAGCAGCTCTGCAGCTATAATGACCACTGAAGTTGTCCCATCTCCAACTTCTCGGTCTTGAAGCTCAGCCAATTCAACAAGTGCCTATAAACATAAAAGCAAGAAATTTTAACTGTGAGAATAGCAAAGAAGTTTAAGTTTCATGTGAAGCAAACTTAAACAAAGAACAAAATAGGTGCATTATTCTTCCACCTTGGCAGCTGGATGTTCAACATCTAACATCTTGAGTACTGTAGCACCACCATTAGTAATTGTTACGTCACCAATATTATCAACTAGCATCTGAAATACAAAAACAATAAAGTGTCAGGGCATTTGAAAACCTCTTACCTATGTTCAGTATTTCAATTTTATATCATCAACGTCTATTTTCTTACGTATTTATTTAAGTTCAATGATAGGACATTTTCCCATAAATTCCAATCTCAACTAGCAAATTAAGCAGATCCAAAAGTTTGATAGTACTTGTACATATAATTGTAACAGGAGTTGGCTAGGAAAAGTTGATAATTTCGCAAACATGTGATAAGATGCATACTGAGTGAATATACGTTGTTTTACAATTATGGTGTATTCAATTGCACAAAAGACTGACTAACTTCATACCTATAAAATTTCCGTAAGAATTTGAATTTCAGTAGGCCTGGGAGGGTAGTAGGCCGCCTCACCCCTACTATCTGTGGAGAGGCTGATTTCTGTCCAGTACATCTGTATTTGGTGCTCCTTGGTAATAAACACAAAAATGCTTTAAATTTCACTCAATTGACTCCCAATATAAACATAAGATCCCATGAGGCTTCACACTTAAACACACAAAGTCGTTGCGAATACAAAACCCATTATAGGATTATCGTTCCATACCCACCACACATGCAAACACACAAAGTCATGCACTGCACTATCATACATGATGTTCCAAATTGCAATAAATCCACTAGGGGACACTCAAGTCGTTTATGTTCTTCTTCCTGTACCTTTAATTTCATGCTATTAAATGAAATTTCTCTTTGCTGATCAAAAAAAAAAAAGTCGTTTATGTCGCATTAGCCCTATAAAGATACTTAAGTTCGAGTCCATTTACATTAGTTTAAATAAATAAAGAAAAAGTTTCAAATTGCAATAAAATATTACTTGTTTGGATTGAGGAGTTTGCAATAGAACATCTCTCATCACTTGTTTGGATGATTTAGTAAGTGTGAAATTGTTAAAAAGGGAAAGAAATGGTGAAAACTTTGGATGATTGAGTAAGTGAGAAACTGTTAAAAAAGGGAGAGAAATGGTGAGAAATAGAAATCTCTTATGCTGTGTTTGGTTAGGGATTTGAGGAGGGATTTGAAAAGGGAAATGGAAAATATAGGTGAAATGTGAATAAAATATACCTATATTTCACATAATTTTACACACATTTTCCTTTTCCCTTTCCCCTTCCAAATCCCTCTTCAAATCTTCCAACCAAACATAGCATTAAATTCATATTTTGTTTCTCACTAGAAGTGGTGAGATTTGATGAGAAACAAAAGTAGTTGATTGTATATAAATTTTTATAACACACACTGTTCATCTAAATACAAAACATAAAAAATTAAATTAAAAAAGAAAATTATAGTTTGACTGTTGTAACAAAATAAACCTCAGTTTTAATTTTATCAATTTAAACTCTATAATTTTGATTTATTTTCAATCTAAATCATTTACCGACCAAACAAATATATATTTTAGTCATTACACTCCACGAAAAATGATATTTGAGGCATTTTATGCTTGGATTGAGGAGTTTGCAATAGAACATCTCTCATCACTTGTTTGGATGATTTAGTAAGTGTGAAATTGTTAAAAAGGGAAAGAAATGGTGAAAACTTTGGATGATTGAGTAAGTGAGAAACTGTTAAAAAAGGGAGAGAAATGGTGAGAAATAGAAATCTCTTATGCTGTGTTTGGTTAGGGATTTGAGGAGGGATTTGAAAAGGGAAATGGAAAATATAGGTGAAATGTGAATAAAATATACCTATATTTCACATAATTTTACACACATTTTCCTTTTCCCTTTCCCCTTCCAAATCCCTCTTCAAATCTTCCAACCAAACATAGCATTAAATTCATATTTTGTTTCTCACTAGAAGTGGTGAGATTTGATGAGAAACAAAAGTAGTTGATTGTATGTAAATTTTTATAACACACACTGTTCATCTAAATACAAAACATAAAAAATTAAATTAAAAAAGAAAATTATAGTTTGACTGTTGTAACAAAATAAACCTCAGTTTTAATTTTATCAATTTAAACTCTACAATTTTGATTTGTTTTCAATCTAAACCATTTACCGACCAAACAAATATATGTTTTAGTCATTACACTCCATGAAAAATGATATTTGAGGCATTTTATGCACACTTACATTGAATTTAATAATTAAAATACCCCTTTTCCGTCAGTATTACTTCACGAAAATAGGCTAATGGTGTAGATTGAAAACAAATAAAAAATTAGAGTTTAAATTGACAAAACTAAAAAACAATGTTTATTTTATTATAAAGGTCAAACTCTCCTAGTTTTTTTATTTTTATTTTTATTTTTTTGTAGCTACCCAAAAAACCAATTGTAAAAAAAAAAAAAAAAAAGTGCATGTGTCCTCTTCTATGTCTTGTGCATCCAAACAATAGGGTTAAAAATCAGATTAATTTATTTTCTCTTCTCATCTAAACGAGAAAATCATAATATTAATTATTTCTTTTGTAGCCTACTATACCAAACAACATAGAAATTAAAAGAAGCACACATTAATGCAACAACAATGTTGTTTTGAAAAGGATTCTAAATTGAGAATTAGAGAAGAAGAAGAAGAAGAATACCTTGTCAAGCCCAACGGGGCCAAGTGAAGACTTGACAATGTTTGCCACTGCTTGACACGCCATCACTGCACATTCCCACACATTCCCCAAATGACATATACAAATATATATATATATATCTGTATATGTACACAGAGAGAGAGAGAGGGAGAGAGAGAGTGCCATTTTGAGTTCGAACGTCCTGTCCGTACAGGCGTTCCCCCATAATATCAGGTGTTCGTGCAGAAACCGCCATTTTCTTGCTGAGTCGAGTAGGAGAGAGAATGGAAAGTAGAGAACGAAGGTCGATGTGAAGAAGAAGAGGAAGAGGAAACCCTAGATCGCAAGAGAAGCAGCAGAGTGGTTTTTGTGTCTGGAATGTTCAGATCAGAGAGTGAAGCTTGTGGAAGCGAAGACAAACAAACAGTACCGGGTTTATAAAAAAAAAAAGTTTTATGAGAGAGGGTTTATGAAAAAAAAAAAAAAAGGTTTTGAAAATCCCTACGACGTCGTCTTGTGTTTTTTGAGGACAAATAACAAGAGGGATTGAAATTAAGGAAAAATTGTATCTTACCATTATAGCTTAGGAAAAATATTTTTACTCGAAAATAAAAAATTAGCGGGAACAGAATCTACTCCTATGATATCATCACGTTTCGCATGCAACTCTGATGAATGAGCAATGGTGCTAAGGACATATGTTGTGGGTATATGTACGATTCGTTTGAAGAAACTAATATTGTTGTGGCTGATAAACATGCCACCTTGTAAACTGAGTATGAAATTAAGGGCTCATACAAATGGATGGTTTTGTCGAGCATTCCCAATCCAAACTTGAGGTAAAGGGAATCACTCTATATGTTGAGTTTGTGAGCCTATATAATGAAAATTAATTTGTGCTTCATTAATGCAATGTGTATATGTTTGTCTAATGCCATCGGCTATACTGACTAAAGCTGGGATTGTTAAGGGTGAACTCCATCCTGGTGGAACTATATGTTGTTCAATGTATAATTTACTAGTTTCGGTATCTATCATGACATTTACACTAAGAGTTTTTTCTGCAAATTTGATTACACAAGAGATCTCAACTAAATTTACTTTAGGTATAATAGGGTAATTAAATGGTAAATATGTATTGCCAGACTGTGATTGAGAATATTGACTAAAGGGTTAAGAATTAACTAGGTTGATTAATTCTAAAGAATGCATATGTTCTTTAACAAGTTTATCTTTTAAGGGGTATTTAGCATGAAATTGTTCTAATTGCTGTTTAAGCTGTTTATTTTCTGATTCTAAGCATTCTATATCAAAATTAGCCTTAATTTCTATCTTACATATTTGTAGTCTAAGTTCTCTTACTTGTATCTCTAATTCTCTAATTGTTTGGTGTAATTATTTGTTTTCTAGACTATGATCTTCTTGCATCCATTCTTTATTTTCTAATGTTATCTTGTGTGTCATGTTTAATTTTTCTAAACAGACTGTACAATAAGTTATCCTGCATAATAAACATTGAACTCTCTTATTTTTAGCTGGAAACCAATTACAATAACTGCATCTAGTGTATAGACGTCCCCCGAACGCCCCAGGAGGGTGAGCTCCCGTTCCGTTCATTTGGGGTCACTACAGCTTAGGACTCTCGAAATTGTCACGGTTCTAAATCTGAACCAAAGAGTCCAAATCCGACAAATCATTTTGAGAAAACAAATTTTTGAAAGAAGTGCCAAACATGGACTGCTTTGCCAGATACAGAGTCGCCACCTAAATATTTTATTTTGGAAAATTTAGGAAACCCTGACTCGTTGCCTAAAGCCACGTGTCCGTCATCACCAAAGTTGCCTCAGCTCGGGAACTTGGGTATGATTGGGGAAGGTCACTTCGTGAGCACCCCCGCTCGCCCGATCAAAGATTGGCCTCTACTAACCATGATATCTATTTTTGAAAACATTGTGTGTTCTTATTCCGGTTATTAGCCTAGATTTACTATGTGATGCGCACAACATACAAGTATAGACTGGATCGCCTGAATTGGAACAAAACATTTCATGTTTGTTTATTTGAAAATGGTTTGATGGTGCTACCCGCAAGTAGGCTAAGACGTGGATTTGCCACCCTCGGGTGGGCTTAGAAAACATGATTTTGCCACTATCTAGTGGGCTTAAAACACACATTTGATGAATTATTCCAATTCAAATAACCCAACCTTCACCCACAGGCACTCAGGCAGTTATATCACATAAGCAATTAGCCTCATGGTAAGCATGCTATTCATGGCAGTAACTCACACGCATGCAAGGATGCTAAAGCATAAAACTTACCGAGTACTCCAAGCCAAAAGGAGATCAAAATCCAACAAAGTCGAAAATTGAGATTTTTATGCTTGTTTCCTCTTCTAGCTTGAGGTAGGGATTTTTCCTACACTTCTTTATGTACTTTTACTTAATTAGAGGGAGCTTAGAGTTGTATATAATTTAATTAGAATTTTTGAAAAAATTGCGATTTATTTGCTTAAAAGAGAAATTTTGAGAAAAATAAAAAGTTGATGCCCAATTTGCGAAAGTGTAAACTTGGAATATGTTTGTAAGGTTATGAAATAGTTATGTTTTAAATTTGAACAAAAAGGGACTTCGATGCCATTTTGAGTTCGAACGTCCTGTCGTACAGGGTTCCCCCATAATATCAGGTGTTCGTGCAGAAACCGCCATTTTCTTGCTGAGTCGAGTAGGAGAGAGAATGGAAAGTAGAGAACGAAGGTCGATGTGAAGAAGAAGGAAGAGGAAACCCTAGATCGCAAGAGAAGCAGCAGAGTGGTTTTTGTGTCTGGAATGTTCAGATCAGAGAGTGAAGCTTGTGGAAGCGAAGCAAACAAACAGCACCGTATAGCTTAGGAAAAAAACTTGAAGTTTATGAGAAGGGTTTATGAAAAAAAAAAAAAAGGTTTTGAAAATCCCTACGACGTCGTCTTGTGTTTTTTGAGGACAAATAACAAGAGGATTGAAATTAAGGAAAAATTGTATCTTACCATTATAGCTTAGGAAAAATATTTTTACTCGAAAATAAAAAATTAGCGGGAACAGAATCTACTCCTATGATATCATCACGTTTCGCATGCAACTCTGATGAATGAGCAATGGTGCTAAGGACATATGTTGTGGGTATATGTACGATTCGTTTGAAGAAACTAATATTGTTGTGGCTGATAAACATGCCACCTTGTAAACTGAGTATGAAATTAAGGTCTCATACAAATGGATGGTTTTGTCGAGCATTCCCAATCCAAACTTGAGGTAAAGGGAACCACTCTATATGTTGAGTTTGTGAGCCTATATAATGAAAATTAATTTGTGCTTCATTAATGCAATGTGTATATGTTTGTCTAATGCCATCGGCTATACTGACTAAAGCTGGGATTGTTAAGGGTGAACTCCATCCTGGTGGAACTATATGTTGTTCAATGTATAATTTACTAGTTTCGGTATCTATCATGACATTACACTAAGAGTTTTTTCTGCAAATTTGATTACACAAGAGATCTCAACTAAATTTACTTTAGGTATAATAGGGTAATTAAATGGTAAATATGTATTGTCAGACTGTGATTGAGAATATTGACTAAAGGGTTAAGAATTAACTAGGTTGATTAATTCTAAAGAATGCATATGTTCTTTAACAAGTTTATCTTTTAAGGGTATTTAGCATGAAATTGTTCTAATTGCTGTTTAAGCTGTTTATTTTCTGATTCTAAGCATTCTATATCAAAATTAGCCTTAATTTCTATCTTACATATTTGTAGTCTAAGTCCTCTTACTTGTATCTCTAATTCTCTAATTGTTTGGTGTAATTATTTGTTTCTAGACTATGATCTTCTTGCATCCATTCTTTATTTTCTAATGTTATCTTGTGTGTCATGTTTAATTTTTCTAAACAGACTGTACAATAAGTTATCCTGCATAATAAACATTGAACTCTCTTATTTTTAGCTGGAAACCAATTACAATAACTGCATCTAGTGTTAGACGTCCCCCGAACGCCCCGGGAGGGTGAGCTCCCGTTCCGTTCATTTGGGGTCACTACAGCTAGGACTCTCGAAATTGTCACGGTTCTAAATCTGAACCAAAGAGTCCAAATCCGACAAATCATTTTGAGAAAACAAATTTTTGAAAGAAGTGCCAAACATGGACTGCTTTGCCAGATACAGAGTCGCCACCTAAATATTTTATTTTGGAAAATTTAGGAACCCTGACTCGTTGCCTAAAGCCACGTGTCCGTCATCACCAAAGTTGCCTCAGCTCGGGAACTTGGGTATGATTGGGGAAGGTCACTTCGTGAGCACCCCCGCTCGCCCGATCAAAGATTGGCCTCTACTAACCATGATATCTTATTTTTGAAAACATTGTGTGTTCTTATTCCGGTTATTAGCCTAGATTTACTATGTGATGCGCACAGCATACAAGTATAGACTGGATCGCTGAATTGGAACAAAACATTTCATGTTTGTTTTTGAAAGATGGTTTGATGGTGCTACTCGCAAGTAGGCTAAGACGTGGATTTGCCACCCTCGGGTGGGCTTAGAAAACATGATTTTGCACTATCTAGTGGGCTTAAAAACACATTTGATGAATTGTTCCAATCCAAATAACCCAACCTTCACCCACAGGCATTCGGCAGTTATATCAACATAAGCAAATAGCCTCATGGTAAGCATGCTATCATGGCAGTCACTCACACACATGCAAGGATGCTAAAGCATAAAACTTACCGAGTATCCAAGCTAAAACAGAAGCTATTAGAAATCCATGCATGATCCTAATTATACAGAAATGCCTAATGCAACACATGCAAAATGCAACTATAGCAGGCTCGGCTATTCTAGACATGGCATATGAAATGCTACAGCTAACATGTACTCAACTTGGAATTGAAAATACAATGCAGTTAGTATGATGCGCCGAGCCCAGTGCATGCAAAATAGATGAATGATGAAACATGTTGTCATACTGTATGCTAATTTAAACATGCCCTAATCTAACCATCATAAGCGGGCAAATAAAAGGGAAGAAAGACGTGGGGTTGGAAGACATACATCACATCATGCAACTTATTATAACATTGCCCCCGCGCAGAGGGTCCGAATAAATATACAGTCCCGAATAAAAGAATAGTGCGGTCCAAATAAATATTACAGTCCAAATATGTACAAATTCCTAATTAATTAACAAATTAACTAAGAAAATAAATAAACTAGCATGCAAGCCAGGGACTGCCTTGATTCCATTCCGGATGATGAATGATGCATGCCCGGGTTGCCTTTGCCGAAAATCCATGACGATGCCCCAATTAGCCTCTGTTTGAACCTGTTCTCGAAATGCGTGCCAAGCCTCGGAAGACCGCTGAT